CCGCCGGCGCGATGGGTTGGGTGTGGCTGGGCTGCGGGAAGAGCAGCAGGGAAGGGACTGCGAGGCGCGTCGAGAATTGCTGTAGCTTTTTCTATGTGCATCTGCTGCTGGTGATGCTTGGAAAGGYTTAGAAATAAAACTCCATAGACTGGYGTCTATAGAGCAAGTATTTGTTTATTGCAGCGCTAGAAGGGAGGAGGATTTCTCTTCCCAGCTCCCCTGCCTTTGCTTTAAATTGKCACATATTTATATAGTAAGCATGGTGTAACATGAACATTGTTACTGCTCCTCATACGCCCACCATACACTTACTGCTATACATGGGCACGGAAATACATGATGTTATCGTTTTACAAGTGCGCATGTGTCATCTTCCGTTCGGTGGTTCCGGGAGTTTTTCTCTAATGAGATATTATCTTCTTTATTATGGTAGACTTTTGACCTTTGTCTTCAGGGCATGCGCAGTTGCGATATTTATGGGGTTTTTCTAGTCTTCTAAGTTGTCATTTTTAATTATTTTGCTGATTGTCTCGTGATTTTGCTAAGTTCTCATTAGTGCTTGCTACTGTTTCTTCTTATAGCATTTACATGTCTACTTTCTTCAGAACTTTTTTTGATTTATGCTTCTTGGTGATTTTACTTCTTTATATACTAATCCAGCTGGTTAGATTACGTGCAGCTGGTATACTACATGTTGCTAATACACGAAAAAACTTACAGCAATATATATATATAAAAAGCTATCATTGATAATATATTGAAAGTAATTACACTGTATTATAATAATATGTCAAAAGTTATTACATTCTTATATTAATAACATAAAAAAAGCTATAGAAAATTTTTAATTAGTAAGCCTCATAAGCACCTTGCCACTTTAATATAGATCATATGTATCACTGGTTTATGGCTTATAGAAAAGTAAAAACGTGATTACTCAGAGGAGGTGCTGCACATCTCTCTGTTGACGAATGCTCCCGCTATTCCTCACACCCTTGGTTTATTGATACTGAAGTCTGTTCTTAGGTTTGCTTTTCTGCACTGAGCACCTGAAATTCTCCTGTCACAGTATGGTCGAGGTGCCTTTTTCGGGTCATCTTTCCAGATATCAAGCTTTGTCTGASTCTTCGTTTTCTCATGGTTGAAGAAAGCATGTTCATCTTCTTTTTCACATAAGACATATTATTGATATTGCTTCATCTATTTAATGGTTCTGAAGAGGGTCGTAGTAAAGCTGAGTATCCTGAAGCTAAAGTAGGTAGTATTCAATGATCTAGTCTTCAGCTAAATTGGTGTGCCATACACTCTGTAAAGAGAACAAGTATTTTGCCTTTATATATAACCTTTTGGTTTTGTATATGTAAGTATATACCTCTGTATGTATGCATTCATTTATACATACTTGCATGTCCACATACATAAAAACATGAATGTGTGTGTGTGTGTGTGTGTACATATTTATATGCAAAAAAAAAGTAGATATGGTTTTGTTTGCAGTTGCCTCAGCACTGACATTATTATTCAGAAGGAACACTTATGTAAACCATAAGACTATTATTTAACTCACTATAAATGGTATTACTGCTTTTGTTCATTATAAACACTTTATAAGAAGTGTAGGCATTTCATTTTGGCTCTGTGCTCCCTTATTCTCAGGAAATTGTTTGTGATCTGTAGCACTGGGAGTAACCAGTTGGAATGTACCTTTTTGGGGATTTCTTGGACCTCAGCAGTGTAATTCTCTTGTGTGATGCAATTTAAACTGGTTCCACCAGTTTTAGGTCCTGGAAAAATACAGGTGAAGTTCGCATTGTCTTTTGTTGTGTGTAGCAGCAAATGCAGTTTCTGGAGAGATTCCRATTCTGATCACCCAATTAATATTCACATTTTCACTTAAATGTTTTGTTTGGTGTGGTCAAACCTTGGATTGGCAGCATAAGTGTGTGKTGTTGCTCTGATGTTTTGCTGTCACTACTGTTGTTCTCTGTGAAAGTGAGCAGAAGGGAGCTCCTGGACAAATTCAAACAGAAAGGAAGATAATGGAAGCATGGACAGGTAGCCTGAGAGGAATACAGATAGATTGTTAGAGTAGTTAGGGATTCGATTGGGAAAATCGTGATGGAATTAAATCCAGCCAGGGATGTCAGGGACAACAAGAAAAGCTTCCATAGGTATTTTGGTGATAAAAGGAAGATTAGGAAAAATGTGGGCCCTCTCTGAAAGGAAACAGGAGAACTATTACCTAGGATATGGAGAAGGTTGAGGCAGTCAATGCCTTTTTTGTYTCGGTCTTCACTGGAAAGTGCTCCAGCCGCACAGTAGAAGGCTGGAGAGGGACATTTTACAAGGGCATGTAGTGATAGAAAGGAGAATGGATTTAAACTGAGAGTKGGTTTAGATTAGAGATTAGGAAGAAATTCCTGGCTTCAAGGTGGTGAGGCCCTAGCACAGGGTGCCCAGAGAAGCCWTGGCTACCCCGTCTGTGGAAGCATTCAAGGCCTGGTTGGACGGGACTTGGAGCARTGTGGTGTAGTGRAAGGTGTCCCTGCCAATGGCAGCGGGTGGAACAGGAGGGGCTTTAAGGTCTCTTCCAACATAAACTAGTCTATGATTTTATGATTCTGTGCTTAAACAATGCTAGATTAAAAATTTGCCTTTGCAAATGAGTTTTTCTTTGTTTTCTTCAGAATTTATCTTGCTAAGGCAGTATATTTCATTTATGAAATAGGAAAATTACGTCTAACTGTTAAACTATTTTTCATATTTAATTTTTTTAGATGGCAACATTAATTCACACTTTAGCGGATCATAGTGATGATGTCAACTATTGTGCMTTCTCATCATCGTGCTTGGCTACTTGTTCCTTGGACAAAACRATTCGTGTTTATTCTTTGAGCACCTTTGCTGAGCTTCCGTACTCGCCTTTGAGAGGTCACAGGTACGCTGTGCACTGCTGCTGTTTCTCCCTGTCGGGTCTCTTGCTGGCCTCGTGTTCCACGGACGGCACCACGGCGCTTTGGGACGTGCGCGATGGCCGCAGGCTGGCGGTGCTGGAGCAGCCCAGTGCCAGCCCCGTCAGAGTCTGCCGCTTCTCTCCTCGGGATCCCTTCCTCTTGGCAGGGGCAGCGGATGGCACTGCGGCTCTTTGGAATGTGCACTCGGCGAAACTGTACCGGTGAGTGCCAAATATKTTTTGACAAATACTCGGTTTTGAAGTGAATATAGTTCAAGTAGTATGCTGTAGTGTATACAAGATGTACAGACATAAACCGCTGGTGGATATCACAAAGAAATGGGGATAGAATTTAGAAGACCCCAAGATTTGTCTGTAGGAGAGGGAGAAGTGCTGAGTAGCATTTTTTTTKKTKTKTTTTTTAAATTAAAYGATGCGAACTCAAGAAGCTTTATTTTTAAAAAAGTTACCTTGCATCTAAATCCTGATCTTTTTAAAGTTCATATTTCATTGATTTACCATGAAATCAAGATGCATTGCACACTGCATGCATCTGGTTTCTAAACAGTGGCTCAGCAAACTGTGCTGCAYATACATACACTTAGTTGAACCTGACTGTGCTGTGTGCCTTATACTTGTATAAATTAAACATTTAATTGCCAGGAAGTCCAGGAAGGAGTCCAGGAAGGTTTTAAAAGCATGATAATAATCCAGCAATCAGAGTTTTGAAATATGGACCTGTCCTGAAACTATACAGTTTAAGACATAACAGTGACAGAAAGAAGTATTGGAGCTAAATAAGTTAGTCATGACAGTCAGCATTTCACAATGATTTCCAAGAAACATTTGAAACAAAGCAGATGAGCGTATTTATTGGTGTTGCACAGTTGAAGGCGTGAACCTTAGACCATATACAGATTTCTTAGAGATATCTGCCACTGTAATACATAAAGAAACACTGAAATGGTGGTTTTGTTTTCAGACAGTAAGGATGTACTGATAACGTACTTTTTCCTAGTTATATCTATAACAAAAACTGGAAAATTCAGTCATTAGTATTCTGAAGTCTGAGGGTTTATCTGTTTTGAGATGCTGCTAGTGAAGAGGTTGTATTTATTTTATTCAAAATACTTGTTGATAAAATTGCTGAAGAAATWTGCAAAAGTAATTTCTTACAAATCTATGCTGTTGCTACATGCTGTGATACATGTTTTAGACCTAGATCCTAATTTCCTTCTAGCTGAGTGGTGAATGTATAATGGCTGTGTAGAAACTATATTGTTGTTACTAGTAAAAATTGTTCTGCTTTGATGTTTTCATTGTAGAGAAATAAGRAAAAACTTGAATATTCCCATCCTACCCCCTTCAACTATTAAAAGTTCATTTCAGAGTGTTATCAGGCCAGCAGTAATCAGCTTAACTTTATTTTTTAATGTTTTTTAGCTGATTAAATTTTTATTGTCATTTCTAATTGCCAGTAGAAAAATGCCATGTCCTATTTTTAAAAGCTGAGATCAATATCACATAGAAATCATCAAGGTACTTTATTATACCTTGTTGTGTATTTATCTTTGACTTTTAAAATGTATCCTGCCATATAATKTAAACAGTGCATTGTGCCTTATAAATGTTAAATCCATGCAAATTGTCTTCAGTTTGAAAATTATTTTATCACTCAGTTAAAATTATTGCATTGGGGTGCCATCTCATGTTTTTTCTCTGCAGTCAAAGAGCAGGTCAGGTCCCTGCTAGTTATTTTGCTGTGTTTTCATAGTTGGTTAGAGTTTGTCCTCTGTTCCCTAGTTTCAAAGTGCAAAACTTGTAGAGTTGTCTTATTACATCAGGTTGCATTTGAGAGGTCGCTTCTTTAAGAGCTTTACCTACTCTAAATTCAAATCCTGTGTACTCTTGCTTTTCAGATCTGGGAATGTTAAAGATGGTTCTTTGGTGGCTTGTGCTTTTTCTCCCAATGGAAATTTCTTTGTCACTGGATCATCAAGTGGTGATTTAACGATTTGGAATGATCAAATGAGGTGCCTGTATAATGAGAAAGCACATGATCTTGGCGTTACCTGCTGTGATATTTCTTCACATCCAGTATCTGGTTAGTTGTTCAACTCATCAGGGGAGGACCATTTAAAAAAAAGAGATACTTTATTTCTCTCTAACTCTTCATATTCTTCTTGCCATTGTTGCTCAAGATACAAATGACCTTGTGAAGAGCTGACGTTTTAGAATGTTTTGAATCTACTTAAGGAAAGGCTGATCAGGTTGGTGACAAGGAATGTACTATGTCAAGAAACAAGGTGATGACTTTAGGTAGCTAATTACGCCGTGGCAGGCAAGGGTTTCAGAAGATGCAATGATTGATTACCTCTTGACTCCTTCATACTTTGGTTTCCTGAGGAGCAGAACTGGATTAAAACAATGCAGTGAGCTGTAAACCTAATAAGCTAAGKGCTTGAGCTGTGCATATATGGATAGATTGTTTTTCTGCACCTGACTTTCTCGATTAGAGAAGTTTGGGGGAGCAGTGAGCCCAGAATCTCCTATGATGTCCCACTAAGATGTTAAAAAATCTAAGAGCTCTTTTAAGCATTTGACCACATGGTCATTTACTTTTAGTGAAGGTTAGGAAATTGGGCAGAAGCCTCATTGTCAGCTTTAGGAAGTAATACAGCAATTTGTGCTGACAGCCTTGTGTGTATACTTTTGTGCTTTCCAGATCTACTGTAGAGACTACTAAAGTGATCTGCATCAAGATATTTAGGCTTCTGTTTTCAGAATTCTCATGAGCTGCCTGTTCTAAGGCCCCACAAGTTATAACTGAGCTGCCAYTTGCATCTTTCAGTGCTGAGCCCAGCAAATGAGTGCTGCTGCCTGTGTACCACCGTGTCTAAGGAGGTGGTGCAAAGCAGCAAGAAATCAGGAGAAGCAGTGAGGAAGAAAGCAGGACAGAAGAGGAGGAAGCAGGATGAGAGCACACACTTCAATACAGAGAATTAGTGATTGACAATACCAAATCAAACAAATGTGTGTCCRCTGAAAGGTGTAGGACCTTTCTTGGTGAAAATATACACAAAAAACTCCATTGTGAACTAAGAGTTGCATCTGAGGGCAAAAAACATGTTGCAGCTGAAACAGATCAGAGTGTAATTTCCATTTCCACTCCATTTCATATTGAGATTATTCTCTTGGTTTAAAAATTACATGACCAACCCTGCAGCCTTCTGTCAAGATAAAGTGAAACAGGCAATGAAGCAGGTATTTCCTACACTGTGGATTTCTTTTAGCTGATTTATGATAATTCTTGATTTTTTTTTAAATCCATATATTACTGAAAGCCATATTTCCTTTTGTTGCTTTTTAATCATCAACAGTTGAACCTTCTAGGATTTTTGTCAGATTTAACACATTATGAAATGCTTAAGTAGTGTTTATCCAGTAGAATTAGAGATAGTTTTAAATTGAGACTCACCTACTTAATTCAGAGGAAGTTTTGATCCAGTGTCTGATAGGTTCTTTGTGCTTTAGGCTGTAACAGGTGGTTCTTCTGCCTTCGAAGTGGATTCAGTCACAGTTGTCTAGGAGCTCCTGAGACCTAGAGCAGTTGTGGTGGAGATTGGTGGAGTTTGCAGTCTTAAAGAATATAGGTCAGGTAAGGCTCCTGAACTTTAGSAAGTCAAACTTCCACCTCTTCAGGGAGGTTGTCAGTGGGATCCCCTGGGAGATTCCCTCAGGGACAAGGGAGCAGAACAGAGCTGGGAAGTCTTGAAGAAAGTCTTCCACAGAGCTCAAGAGTTGGTGATCCCCTGGAGCAACAAAATGGGCAAGGAAGGCAAGAGACCAGYATGGCTGAGACTGGCTGCTGGTCAAAGCAAAAGGCAAGAATTTCTTGTAAATACACAAGCAATGGGAACAAAGACGTGTAACCTGGGAGAAGTATAGAGATTAATTACAATTGTGTAGGGAGGGAGTGAGGAAGGCAAAGGYGAAGCTGGAACTGAGCCTGGCAAGGGGTGGAATGTCCACAGCATCCCTAAATCCTTCTTGGCAGGGCTGCTCTCCACCTGTTCACCCCCCAGCCTGAACTGATAGCAGGGTTTGCCCCTATCCAGGTGCTGCAGCAGCAGTTGAGGTTCCTGTGGACCAGTGCCTGAGCTTGTCCAGGGTCTTCTGGTGTGTCACCTGCACCACTCAGCTTGGTATCATTTGCTCTTTCCGTGTCATTCATGAAGATATTAAATAGCACTGGTCCCAGTACAGAGCCCTGAGGGACACCATCAATCCATTGGGACTCTGAGCCATTGACCATTACCTTCAGGTTGCAACCACTGAACCACTTTCTTAGGCGTCTTACCAGTCCACTCATGGAACCTGATAATTCAGAAATGTTCATGTCCATTGAATCAGGAGGGGAAAGCTAAAAACTATTGTTGTATTTCATATTTAATGCAATATTTACTGAGTATTTGGCTGGACTTCAGTCATGAAATGTCACTTTATACAAATGAAAACCTGAGCGTCTAAAAGTATGAAAACTCCCTGTCAGATCCTGTCAATTTTTTTCCATGTGTATGTGGGTAAGTTTAGAATTACTGAACGGTAGAAACAACAGATATAACCGTATAATTTAGGTTAAAAGACACTATCTGTGCACTCAGAGGAATCAAACATTACCATCAAAAAACTTAAAATATGAGCACAGCTCTGGTCTTTATCTACTCGTTCAGGAAAAAGTATAACAATACCTATTTCTTATTTCCAAATCGTTTTAGAACTTCTGCATTTATTTTTATGCTGATGTAGTTTACTGATACGCTSTCATTTTCAGTATATCTGACTCTCATTTGTATATTTTAATTTTATCAGATACTGAGATTGGATTGGAATACTTCCTGATGGCTTCTTGTGGACAAGATAATCAGATCAAACTCTGGCTTATTTTGTTTGCAGATCTCTTAGGTTTGTATAGAAATGTTTTTTGAATATACCAATGTCTTAAGTCTTTAGTGACAATTTAAATCAAGGGCCAAATTTATACTACTGGATTCACAGCTAAACTAAAAACAAATTGAAGGTTTTCTTTTAATTATTAGCCAGAGAACAGATAAGGGACTTTGTGATTCAATGCCATGTAGATTTTATTTAGCAATCTATTTATCAACAAATAATGAAAGTAAAGATTTAAAAAAAAAATCTGCTGTGGCCTTTTAACAGGTTGATAGATTGAAACCTCTTCCTGGCCAGGGAGAGGTTTTCTTTCCTGTTTCAGTATATCCTTGAACAGGAACTGGAGAAAAGAAAACAGTGTTGGCTCCTGCAAAAACAGCAATGTAGGTAAATCACTGAAAGTATCTTCAGTGGGTATGTTTTTGTGATATCTGTTTTATGGAAGTATGTAATTGGATTAAGATAGTGTGCACAAGTACACATTTAATTATCTAAAACCTATGACACATGCTAAGACTACAAGGAGAGGAAGTTACTGAAAAGTTTTGTCTCCTTGGTCTTTTGATCCCCTTTTTTGTAAACAGTATGTCACAGAGTCACATCTTTGGTGGAGCTTTAGGCATCTAAAAGCAGCTTATTTTATACCTTGTCAAATATGGCCATATGTAATAATTTGCTTTTTGTATTTTGCAGGTGTTGAGTTAAAATATAAATGCACACTGAGTGGACACTCTGCTCCAGTTCTGGCTTGTGCGTTTTCCTRTGACGGACAGATGATGGTCTCAGGGTAAGCAGCACCTGGTTGAAATGTCTGGCTGTCCAAGTTCACACTTCAGTAGTGTAAAACAGAAAGTTCAAAAGAGCTGAACATTTCTAAATATTTATCACCAATTTTTAAAGAATAGTTCTGTGACCTCTAGAGCTGTTKAAGTGTCCTTATAATCGGTCTGTGTCTTGTTGGTGATTGAGTTGGAAATCTCTGGTTGTGCACAAGGTTAATAAAACAGTTTCCATTTCCCTCTCTGCATCATTTCAATGTCAGTGTATTTTTTTTTAAGGTCTGTGGACAAGTACGTCATAATCTATGAAACTGTAAGTAGAGCTTAATACCAGAGCATTTGTTGGGTTGTTGTCTGAAATATCAGCTTCTGCAGTGTCTTATCAATGGAAAAATTTTAAAGAACAGAAATTATATTAAGCCGAAATATTTAGTGTGCATTTGGGGTCAGGAGAGGAAGGAGTCTAAGGAAAAATGTCTCCTGAGAATTGATCAGTCTTTCCTGCTTTTTATTTACATTGTGAGGATTTGTCAGTTGATTTCTCTGCAGTAGGGTATTAATTAATTCCATACTCATGAGTATTACAAGTTTCATATTGAAGTGGAAGGATTTTTTTTGTTATCCTAACTTTAGGTTATCTTTCAAAGCAAGGAACACTGTACCTTTTGACATAAAATTGGGAATAGTGATCATAGAAATTCTGTAGTTACACATATGTAAAGTGCACATAAAATAGATGCAAAATAAAGAATTCAAGAAAGTGTTTATGTAAAGTACAATGTTTTTAAACATATTGTGTAAGCATTTTCTGTAATAATGTTATTACATCCCTTGTGATTCACCTGTAAGTACAATGTAAGTGGTATTTACCTTTAGTATTCCATAGTATTAAAAATAATACTAATTTTGCTGAAAATTATGGATGAACAGATTTTAACCTTCTTCAGCTTGCTCTGCACATACCTATTGTATTGATACATTAGCATTAAGGTTTTTCACCAAAATCACTGATATGATGCTGGCAGTCTTTTGCCACAGTTTCTGAACTACTGTTTTAGTAGTTTGACGTTTAGACAGGTATGTTAGAAGTCCCCTGGAGTTTTGGAGTCACAGAAAATTGATAAATGATGGAAACCACAGCCTAAATATTTCTTAACTGTTTGTCAGCTTTTGTGGCCTTACGTTTTTATCAAATGAGACAATAACTTTTCTAGTTGTGAATTCTCCTTTGGAGATACTCAAAACCTGCCTGAATACCTGCTCTAGGTGATGCTGCTTTAGCAGGCCAGTTGGACTAGATGATCTCCAGAGGTCCCCAGTCATCCTGTGATKTTGTGGGAAAAGGGAGGGACAATAAGCCTTGGTGGGAGAGAGAGAGATTTTAACATATATTAAGGCTCTTAGATCATGTTGGACAGCTCAAAATACTGGAGTACTGATTGATCAATTGGTAATTCAGAATAACTTTGCTCATCATCTTTCTAATCTGTCTGTACCTGTCAAAGCTAATGGTATTTTTCGTAAGAGGGAAAATCTTTCAATCATGAGTTAAAACTGCTAAAATGCAGGATTTTTTTTTTTTTTGTAGCAGTTAGTGGGCAAATAGAAGAACCACTGGTATGGTTAGTTATCCATCCAATTGAAGGATTGTGGGTTGACCCCCACAATGACCTTTTTGGTTATTTCTAATAGGAGATTTGTAGAAGAGATGTCTTTATGTACACAAACAATCAGCCAATGTGGATGTAATTCAGTTAGTGTCCTGGCACTGTTCTCCGTGCATGTTCCATGCTGGCTGATTGTGCAGGGTAGCAGTGCTCCAGGGAAYTGAATGGGGCTTCAAGCAGGAAATCCAAGTTGCATTTCTGACTCTGCTGGCGATCAGCTTTGCCAAGTTTGTATAACTTCTCTGAAGGTAACTTCTGTCAGCATTCAAGAAGCAGTATTCCCTATTTTGAATGGAAGCATACAAAGGAAGAAACACTCTTTATTATTTATGATTTAAAATCACAAAAACTCTTTTCCAGAGTACTGGCAATACCCTTCATACTTTGTCTCACCATACCAGGTAAGAAATCAACATGATTATTCTATTTCATAAAGAAAAGAATTTCAGTGCTTTTCTCATGAATTGTCATGTATTTTTAAAAATTTGTAGATACGTTACAACTTGTGCTTTTGCACCACATAGTCCCTTACTTGCCACAGGCTCAATGGATAAAACTGTGCACATATGGCAATTGGACCTTAAGCAACCCTGTGCAGGTCAGTGTGGTAYTTGTGATCTGTTCTTCAAATTCAGAACACCATCTGAAGATGCAAAAATCCCACAACCTCAGGATTCTGTGCATGTTTTTTATCTTGTAATTGATCTGATTCATGCCCAAAAGAGGTATTCTCTTTTTCTCATTTAAAAAAAAATACTAGATGTAACTTAATGTTATTAATTTGCTGTATCTGCTTTTCTGATATTTGCTGGGTAACATTTAAGATATTAATGTTATTGCCAGAGTGCTGAAAGACTTTTTGGACACATAKAATTTGTCATGAATTGGAAATACGCACGGCATAATTGCAGGCATAATTGTCAATTAGAAATGCAGCTTACCAGTTGTTACAGGTGAAAAACTAATGGTAAAAATTACACTAGTAGSATTAGTATAGGATAACTATACTATTACCATCAGCACCTAAAATTTGTGGAACAAAGATACATATTTCTTTGTTCAAAGCACAAAAGTACGTTTGGACTTTGGTGTGCCTTCTGAGGAGATGTGAGATGATTTCAGTGTTTGCTAGCACTTTTCTGGTTGTTATTTCAATTCGAGTTTGACAGAAGTGTAGGTGTCTGAGAGATTAAATTCCCCTAAACTTTGAAAATTGATAGGTAAAAGGCAAGCCCAAATTATTCTTCTCCCTTCCAAAATAATGTCTGATAAGCATTTATTTTATTAGATGAAGAATGTGTAGCAGTAAGAACACTTAAAAATAGGGCCCATTAATGGCATTGTTTTGTAGAACTGCAGATTTAATTGATTGCTTTTTGGGGGTTGTGGTGAGGGGGTTTTTGTGGTGGAGGGGTGAAGGTGTTGTTTGTTTTTAATTTTTGTCTGTTTGTTTGTTTGTTTAATTCTTTTTCATTTCCAAAGGAGATACTGTAGAAAATGAATCAAAGGTGGCTGTTGAGAACTGGTCAGAGGATGATGTTTCAGCCTGGCTATGTGCACAGGATTTATCAGACTTTGTTGGGCTTTTCAAAATGAATAATATTGATGGCAAGGAACTACTCAATCTTACTAAGGAAAGTCTTGCTAATGAATTAAAAATTGGTAAGAGTATTGAAATCCAAATAGTTTTTAATTTCTAGAGTACTTTGAACTGTTGGAATGAAAACAAGTTAGGAGTTCCATACATGGATTTTTTTTCTTCCCTGAAATGGCTTTTTTATTTTACTTCCAGGGCTGTGAAAAACCCTTGTGTTAGATTGTCCACAGTATTCCTTTTTTGTGTGTGTTTGCTCATACCTGGAGACGTATAATGCACTTCCCCTAACAATGCTGTTAAGTGCTCTTAGCTGATTTTGTTTCTATTTTCCTTTTTTGATCTTTTCTTACTAAGCTGTGTTAAAGGAATTTCAGCTTTTCTCTATAATTCGTGTTTCTCACTTTGGTAAACTGGGTGTTCTGTAGCTTTTCCTATCAGTGCAAAACGTGCCWTGTTGAGAATAGCGTGGGTTCAGCAACCTTGAAATCAAAACAGTGAAATTCTTAAGTGTGCATTTGATGATTACTTTTGGTGAGGATCAAACAAAGCTTGCCTGGCTCAGACACTTTCTAATCATCAGGTTCATACATTGTTCTGTTGCTTTGTTCGAAAACTGTGATTACATTTTAGAAGGAATCACAAGGAAGCACCATATTACTAATATTTCATAATGACCACCATGGAATTAGGAAATATAAGGATAGTGARCTGCACTGGAATTTTCAAAATATAAGTTCTCTATTAATTTTGATGGCCAGATTTAAGTGTAAATTAGGTGCTAATATATTTATCTGAGAAAGGTSAAGTACAGCAAAAGGCTGAATGATGTAAGAAACCTTTTAAAACAATTGGATATTGTTCACTGTAGGAGACTGCTCCCTTTCTTTTGTTTTGTGTTGGAATTGGTCTGTATTGGATTATATTATCTTTGTGTATCAGCTGGCTTTGYTGAAGTCTAGAAATAATAGACATGCTGTGTAACTGTCAGGAATTGTCAGCCATGGAAGACATTTGGCTTCCTCAGTTTCTGCAAATGTTTTCCTTAGCACTGAAGTAGCCTAAAAATTTGTTGCAACAATCGCCAGCTGAGGCAAATCCCTTAAAGCTGAATAGAAAGTTCTATGAGAATTGAGTGTAGTGTGCCCAATGACCTGCTACAAACAGAGTTCTCTGGGGAAAGAACAAAGGTATAGAAATTATGGCCTCAGATGTCTGACTTGAAAAATTGCCCTCTACCTGCCATAGCTTAAGCATTTGCAAAGTAGGAAAATCCTGTCTGCCTAAAATGAACAAGATTTACAGTGTTACTCAAATTCCTGTTTAAATTTTAGGAGTCTTATCTCCATACAAATGCTTGAATGAGCACATCCTTTCTCTCCTTGATAACCTGTTTTCTTTGCTCTAAGGATATAACATAAGACCTTGGTAAAGACCTCTAGAAATGTTTAGTCTTTGCAGCCAGGAGGACATCAGTGTTCTTTCAGAAARCACAGGTTCAGGCGTTTCTCAGTTGTGCCTTTGTAAGCCCTGGCCAGCAGTCCCATACAGCAGGTGTAGTGTATTGTACCAAGAGGTGGACATGACCCCGTGTGTCAAATGCTAACCTGAAGCTCTGCTGCACTTGTGCTGGTTTTACAGCTTTATTCMTTACTCCCGAGTTGCTGCTGGGCAGCAGGAGCTCTCCCCATGGCAGAGCTAACGTGAGTGAGGGCCACGASTGGCTGCAGGCTTTTGGTGTAGTGGGGTGGAGAAATGGAACCGAATCTCCTGTAACACAGCTGCCAACCATTTCAAAACCTCASCTCTTTGCTTTACCTGTGCTGTATACTTCATGTACAAATAATTTTTCAGAGTCTCTAGGCCAGCGCAGTAAAGTTCTCCAGAAAATTGAAGAACTAAGGATGACAATGATCTCAGTTTCAGTTCCTGATGAGTTCTTATGTCCTATAACAAGGGAGCTTATGAAGGATCCTGTCATTGCAGCAGGTATGTCTTTACATGCCGTGGATTAAAATTAATTACTTGAGGGTAAAGATAAGCCCATTTTTGTGTTCCCACACCTATCTTATCATCGGGTATAGAAGGATAAACTATTCCAAATAGCTGTTGCAACAAGAGAATTGTGATAAATGTTTAATTTGCCAAATTACACCTCTGATAGGGAGAAAAATACCGTATCAAGCAACTTTTTTAATGTGCAAAATGGAATTGTGCACAGTAGGGCAAAAAGCAAACAAACCAACCAACCCAAACCTCCCCCAAAAACCCCAGGCTCATTACTACGTAGCATGCCATCTATAGAATTTAAAAGTTTGTACAGAATGAGACTCCCTTAAATTCAGCAAGCCCTTGGAACTGTGATACGCCAGGAGCATAAGATGTAATGTAGTTAAAACGTTTTCTGAAGAACTATAGTTTTGTAGTTCTAATCTTGGGAGGGCAGGAGGACCATAGAAGAATCAAAAGATCAGTATAATTTTTTTTGTTGCTCTGTAAACAGTGACTGACTTCATCAAGGCATACCTTCATTCTGAGGTATTAGGGTGGACTTCTGAGAATTAAAATGGTCAAAATATGAAGACATTTGCTAATGGCTGGAGTGATGGTGGCTTTATTCAGTAAAGACTAAGAAAACAGAGTACAGCCTTGTGTTAAGAGGAGAGGTATGGGGCACAGGGTTTGTATTCCATCAGAGATAATCCTGGGTGACTGTGCCAACTAATACTTAGCTGGGGTGTAATTTCTGTTCCTTAAGAACAGCTTKTTCAGCTACCAACTCTTAGAGCCAAAGTCCTGAACCTGGCCAGGTGATGAGGGCTCTGTACAGGTCCAGCTCAGGCCTGGGACAGCCAGGTGGACAAGCCCCCTGTTCTGCAGGGCAGCAGGCTTGAACTGCAGTAGGCAATTGATGGTAACGAGCTTTTACTTCATAGTATGGATCATTCCAACAGGTAAGAAAGTCTTATTTATCATGTGCATATTACATTTTGGTGCTTTGCAAGCAGAGAGAGATTTATGAAACTAGCCTGAACTGTTTTTATTCACAGTAAAGATTTCACATTACATATACTAATTTTAGATCTGAGTTTTCCTGTTTGGATGTATTTCTTTTTACATTTAAACAGCTAAAATCTGTACAGAGCCACAGTGTCCAAGCCTCTGTAATACGAGTTTTTTGTTGATGGTTTCTTTGCAGATGGCTATTCCTATGAAAGGGAAGCTATGCAAAACTGGGTCAGCAGCAGACGATCTAGTCCCATGACGAATCTTCCTCTCTGCTCTGTTATGCTCACACCAAACAGGACATTAAAAATGGCCATCAGTCGCTGGCTAGAGACTCAGCAGAAATAGTTTAACCACTTAATTTTGCAGTTGTTTGTTAATTGAAATTTTACGCAGTAAAGGGATTAATGTATCAGAAACAAATAGAAAAAGTTGTGTTTTTCTTCTAATTGGTGGCTGGTTCAACCTTCACTGGTGGAAACTTCCAGAAAAACTTTTTTAACCTCTTGGTAGTTCTACCTTGTGTTATTTCTGTTTAAGATATTAAGTACTCAAACTAAGTTTTTAAAATAAAATTTTCTTAACATTTTCACTGCATTTATGAGTTTTGAGTCTTCATCTTTCCAAGTCMGTCTTTCAGAAGGTAAGAAATAGCAAAGTATAGGATCTGTGTTTCTTTTTCTAATCTATCACACCAAAATATGTCTTCTTCTGTTCCCCATTACTGGATATGTAGGTGAAAAAGCTGAGAGTTTCTCCTGTAACTTTCAGGGACTGCATCTCATCCCACAGGTATATTAATAATCTTTATTTTGTATGGAAAGAGTACAGTAGCTGTGCAAAAATAGATCTACAGGACAAAACTAATATAAGACTTGTACAAAATATCAAAGAAACGGTAAACAATAAATAAGCTAAAGCATAATGATGCAAAAGGATTTCTAGAGCTGGATATAGCTGTTTACAATGTACACAGAACACTGTAATCAAGCATGATGGGAAGAGTRTAAAGCTGAGCACTCCAACTGAATTGCACTCATAGGAATGTCACTGCAGCCATTCATTTTCAGAATGTTCTCACCAATAAAAAAACCTTMTTTCATCAAAAAACCCAACTTCTCAGCTTAATCACTACTGTCATGCAACTGCACATACGCTTTTCCTCAAACTTTCACCTTCACTCCATCCCTTTCGTGGGTTTCCCATGAAAATGCTTACTAAGCATTKAGTTGTTGTACCTTTTCACAAATTAACAATAAATCATTTTGCTTTAAGATAGCACCCAAAGGTGATTGGATTCCCTAGATAAAGTGCGATTATTGTTAATAAGCCATAATATTGAGTTCTTCAGTGCAATAACCAATATGGTCAAAGCCTCTCAATACACATGCAAATGTCACTCTTTATTTTATTTGATTTCTTCTAGTTACTAAAAATAGTTATATTTACATGTCAAAACATGGCTGCTTATAGTTTACTCATACACAAATTATTTATGCTTCCTGAATGTACATCATGCAACCCAAAGTAGATCCTGCTAGAAAAGTGATAAAATACTTTGATTTAAAAAAATGCATGCACAGATCTGAGTATTCTGCAGCAGATTATCTTTCCTAGCACTGCTGTGAGACGTAAGCACTTAAGCACTCAAGAGGCACAATTATTATGTGTGAGATGCAACAGAACCAAAAGCCAAGACTGAAGCCTGCGTGAAAGGAAATATTTAATGGTAAAATATAATGGAAAGGATTTCTCTGCTTGAGGTCCTCGGACAACCCTAATTGAGTCTTACTACACCAATTTGTTATTGTTATTCCAGTTACTGTCAGTGCCCTGCGATGGTAGGAACAGGTGGAAGTGGTTGTATCCCATTAAAGACTGCTCCCTGGGAGCCAGCCATGCCCAGCCAGTCGGTGTTTTGTAAAGCACTCAGACCCTGGGATGCTGTGAGCCAGGTCCACCCTGTCATTGTAAAGAACAGTATTTATACGTTTGACTCAATGAACGATCGCTTTGGTTTTGCTGTGGTGCTGTGACTGAGGTGACTGTCCTGAGTGCTCTGGGGTGGYGGTTTGGCTACAGCATCAGGGTATGAATGAGAACCTTGGCTGGCTGCTCTGCTGTCTGTGCAATGGGGAGGGATTTGGCACAGGAGCTCCATGTGTTCTGTCGCTTGCACGCTGCTCTGGTTGCCATCTCCCGGGGCAGCACCTGGCGAGGATGCTGGAGTCGAGTAGTATTTAACTGAGAACTGCTCACAATTTGAGGGCTGGATGCCTGCAGAAGCAGTATTTGTGGATAATCCCTCTGATGCCTGAGAGTGCCAAGTGCGACTAGATTGTGTGTTTTGCTGCTGAAACCTTGCAGTCTTGTCCATGATTCCCATAAACGGAGTATTGCGAGGTCGGTGCTCAGTACCCTGAGCCTGACTGACGTTACTGTCCTTGAGTCGAACATCTGGGCCCAGCCCCTTAACACTGCCTGAAAAACTGCTGGCTGAAGTGAAGCTGCTTGTTGAGCCAGAATAGGCACCACTGGGAACAGGGCTTTGCTGCCTCGAGTCAGGGAAATTCACTGAAGCAGAGGCTGGTGACGTGTCAGCAGGTTTAGATTTACTGGCAAAAGAACAAGAAGAGAGAGTCTCGTGGTGCTGTGGATGGGAACACTGGCCAGACACAAACTTCTCATTGTGCAGTTCAGCAGTGGGACCTGAGGAAATGCTTCCAGATGTCAACGTGCTTGTCCCATCCACATGCTGACTTCTAGAGTGGCGGGTGGGCAAGGGACTGTGGGGAAGATGCTGCGAAGATGGTTGTGAAGATGGTTGTGTCTTGGTGCTACACAGGCTGCTCCCTGGTTTAGATCCAGGCTGAATGGAGCTCAGGTGCTGATTTGTTTTTACAATCTGTGCCTGTTTTGTTGGCTGCATGATCAAGCCCGGCTCTCTCAGGTACTTACTCCTTGTTCTGCTTTGAGAGGACACAGACCGAGCTTTCTGAACATCTTCTTGAAGGCTCCTGCTGAATGATGAAGCAGCTGAGGAACACTGCAGCCTTGGTGAAGGGGAAACAGATTCACTGGGGAGTGGCAGCTCATCTTCCCTGTCTTGAAGATTAGAATTATCATTCACACCTGGTACAATGSCCTCCTCCTCATTATCAGCATTGTTGGTTTGCTCGAGTAGCTGTGGAGACTGATGCTTCTGTTGCTGTGTTCTCTGGAACTGTTTGCATTCCTCTTCCACCCGAGCTAGGAGACGTTTTATCTCCTGATTGCTGGGACACAGCTGAGTGGCTTCCCGTAGGTCACTGAGAGCAGCAAGTAGTTTTCTGTTTAGGAAAAAAAAAGGAAACAATGAAATCTTGGCACAAATTTGAGTCCCAACATTGCCTACTACTAATCCACCTCCACCACTTGCAGCAAAATATCTTGGTTTGCTGTTTCCTGCTGCAGGTAGTGATAAATAAGAACTGGAAGTCCTCCACCTCAGGAAATTCTTAACTAGGGTGCAAGTGCAGACCCAGCCCTAAGCCCTTCTCTTGAGCATCCTGACACCCCATGCAGGCAGGCAGCAGAAGTCTCTGCTGGGAACGGGGTAACTTCAGTTACCTCCAGAGTAGGGAAGCTGCTGAACTGTGCTTCATGACCGTTCATTGATTTGTTTAGAAAAGACATGGTCAATCCAAAAGGCACAGCTCTCTGTACTCCAGCTACACCACTACAGTTTGCTATTCTTCCAGCCTAAGGAGTTAGTTCATCCCCTCTCCACTTGTCTTTATCTTCAGCTCCTAAGGATTTATCATATTCTGTTCCATCAAAGCAGCCAATAATAAATGATAAACATAGCAATAAACAGTGAATTGAATGGAATGAATAATGGAGTTGGGTGGCACACTGCTGACCTGAGTCATGTGGAGCAGCAGACCTATTCACTATTATACTTTAAATAATCCCCCTTCAAATTTGTTACTTTCTGGACTGCCTCATAAGTATTTAAAGAGTATTCAATATTGTTATTTGGAATGTGGTTGGCTTTATCTAATACACAGACCTCATACAGATGCAAACTACACTAAAAAATAACTTTTTCTTTGCAGGTTTGAAATATAACTAGCAGAAAAGAACAAGTTATTAAAAATGCTAAGTACAAATCTGTGCAGACAGATGCACAGAAGCAAACGGTACCTGCTGTTCCTCTTGGCTCTGGCTCGGGCATAATAGGCTTCATAACACTTGGGCTTCAGATCCAAGGCTTTGGTAGCAAACTCTTCAGCCATACCAAAATCCTGATCATGGAATCAAGCACACTCRTTAGTGACAGTCAAGGCAGGCTCAGTGTTTGCTGAGCTCTGGCTCAGGAGCACAGGCAGCAGTGGCTCCTGCCCTGGATTCTCACACAGCACACACAGGCACAGCCAGAGCTGTGCTGTTGGATAACAAAGGGTGGCCGCCCTGTTTTCCATTCATTCTTTTAAAAGCACCACACAGATCCAGCAGTTCATCATTCCAAAATAACTGCATGATGTAAGACCAGCTGTAACAGACCCCCATGGCAACATGTCCTCATCTTGTAAGCTGCCCGTTTACTGACATAACAAAGCCCAAAATCATTATATAGTGAAAAGGTTTCTAAAATAGCACGAATAGATATCTACRTACAACCCCAGTAATACAGTAGAAGTTTCAGATAGCCAGTGCTAGAGAGGCAGCAGACTAAAGCTAAGAGCTTACATTTGTTTTGCGGCGACATCGGGACAAGTTCAGGTATAATGAAACTCTCAGCTCAGTGAAGGCTTTCATTTCCTCACCAAATCCTTCCCTTGGGAACTTCCTCAATGCATACTGATAACGCTGTGCTGCTTCCTTCATCTTGCCTTTCTGCAAATTTTAGGGAACAAGAGGTTTTAACATTATACTTTTAACACTAGAATACTGTTCCAAAAAATTTGTATTTATACTTGACATCTACCAAGAGGTATCCTTCAAGAAGAAAAGACAGAGACAGACTTTTTAGTAAATACACATGATTATTAAACCCACGTTAACCAGAATTTGTGTTTCTGTCTGAACTCAAATGTTTAATGGTATTCGATCAGGATAATACTTGCACTAATACACACTGCTAATACCAGAAAAAGTAATGTATGATACTTGTTTTGTTTTAAACAGAGTATAATAATAATCTAATAATAATAATAATCTAATATATCAGATTATATAGCTGAAAAGGAGGCATAAAGGCATTCAGTCTACCTCCAGACAGAAGTCCAATGTTCTGTCAGAACAAACAACCGTCTACCTACTTTATACAATGTATTTCCTTCTTCCATCAGTTTCTGCAGAAGAATCAGGAGAATATCAGGTTTGGAGGTGGCCATTGCCCATGCTGCATTTCCTGCAAGTTAAATTTTAAAGGTGTCTGACAAACGGGAAGAAAGTGTGTTTCTGCTGTCTATCACACTAGAAAGCCTAGTCCTACTTCAGAAGATATTCCACCTACGTGGAACTATTACTACTATTATCATCATCATCATCATTAGTGTGTACCTATTTAAAATACATCTATGCCCCCACCAATGCCACCTGGACAGTAGCCAAGTATTAAATGGTCTGATACATTTCTCCCCAAGGTAGGAATGTATAAATAAAGTCACAATTAAATTCAGGCCTAAATAAAGATCTGTATTTGATTGTACTTACTAGCCAAATAATATGAAAATGTGATTCAAATGTACTAAAGATTCAGTAATTATTACACACATAACTGCACGTACTTGCCTACTGATAATACATGACTTACTTTTTTGCCTATCCTTTGCAAAAATACACAATTCTGTAATTTATTAAAATAATGTTATTTAAAAGTAAAACTTCTTAATCTAAATCATTAATAGTGTCAGAATTAYGTATCAGTAATAGGACAATCATAATTTTCTTGTTTAAGTATATTACGACAGAGTAACCACAAACAGTGACTTCTCTAGACCTCACTGTCAACACACATCAAAGAAAGGAGCAGAATAAAATCCTTACACTTCTTCACTTTTAAAGTGAGTCTTGTGTGTCTGCCTTAAAAGGGGGAGATTGTTTCTCTTGAGTGGGCATCTGCAAACCAGACAGCCTACAAAAATCTGGTGTTTTGAGTTATTTAATGTACTTGACAAAAATAACTAATTCTTGCAGAGGAGAATGCACGTGTTTCTCCTGGTGCAGGGGAGTGTCACTGACCCAGCTTAGCTCCTTTTCTCAGCAGCATCACCACCACGGAGGTGTTGCGGCAGCCGATGGCTCTGTCCAGCGGCCTCATGCCACTGTGGTCTGTGTGCTCAATCACTGCTCCTTTCTCCACCAAATACTGCACCTGGGAAAAGAAACGGCACAGCCCTTGGCATGTGGCTTTTGCCAGGAAAGTCACACCAGTGAAATATTTAAGATACCACGTAATTATCTAAAATCCACTGAAGGCACCACAGCATGGGGGGTTGGACTGAGCAGCAGTTCTGTCATTACACCATTACTTGCCCATGTGTGGTGAGCACGGATCCTGTAAGGTAAGAGGCAGCAAAGGTCCTCACAGACAGCCACAACCCATGGGGCTGCCCAGGAGCTCTTCAGTGGCGCTGTCCCAGCCTGGCCAGAGGCTGAGCACAAACCCTCTGAAGGGACCAGTCTGCCCGGGGAAATGGGGGCACAACATTTGCCCTACAGCAAATGGAYGGACAGGAGGGAGCCTGGACACTCCTCAGTCCCCAGCAGAGTCTCCAGTGTCACCTGCAAAAACATGCACAGTGTCTGAAAACTGCCAAAGCCACTGTGGAACCCAAGGTCTTTTTGTAACTTGGAGCTGATGCAGACCAAGGCTGAACGGGACWAAGTGCTCCATGTGAGTTACCCAGGGCAGCACTGACACAGAGCTCGTGTTTTATGCTGCAGCAGCGCCCATGGCAGTGTSRGGCTGCCCGTGCTGCTCTCCAGCTYCTTGCTGACCTCTGCATTTGTCCTGAGTGCACACAGACCTGAGTGTGCCCCTCCTCTTCGCACACCTCTTCCTGGGTCTTTGCTCCATGAAGGCACCAGATGACTGGAACCCTGATAGGGGACTTGGACCTCTGTGGGTTTGCAGCAAAATTCTGGGCTTTTACTTCACCTAGAAAATGCTTTTCTGAGCAAACATTTGCACTGCAGTCAAGATGAGAGCAATGCCACTATCTTGGCTACATCGCCGAATTTCCTATTTGGGTAGGCAGTATTTTTACTACATTTTTATAACTTTTTCTTAAATTTTCTGTTTTGTTATACTTACAATTTCAGCATCTCCATAAAAAGCTGCCAGGTCTAGGGGTGTTCGTCCATTTTTGTCTGTCTGATCAGTTGTTGCCCCCTTCTCTAGTAAACACTGAACCACTTCCCTGTGGCCTTTCAGACATGCCCAGCTAAGAGCTGTCAGTCCCTCCTTGTCCAGGGATGAAATAGTTGCACCTGTAAAATGAAAATCAACTTTGTTATGAAGATATTGTGCTTAAATGGAAAAATTGCCTAACTCACACAGATGCAATCCCTGGTGCATCTGTGCAAGCCTTAATCCACACTATTTATTTTCTACCTTCAGAAAGAAGAAATTCCACAGTGCTCAGATGTCCCTCACAAGAAGCCACCATCAGTGGTGTCCGGCCTTGCTTGTCACTTAAATTCACATCAGCTCCATGCTCCACTAGAAGTTTAGCAATCTGAAGTAGAAAATACCAATTTAAAAATACATTCCTTGCACCAGTGGGGTTTTAGGTTGGATATTAGAGGATTTCTTCTCAGAAAGCACTGACACAGGCTGCCCAGGGAGGGGGTGGAGTTCCCATCTGCCCATCAGATCCCTGAAGGGGTTTAAAAGCCAYGKGGGTGTGACATTTTGGGACAGAGGTTAGGGTGGCCTTGGCAGTACTGGAAAACAACTGGACTTGGTGCTCTTGGAGAGCATTCCAAATTTTACCAACTCTAMGATTTTATGAAATTGGCAGATGTAGATTTCAGCCATTAATACCATGAACATTTTTTAAAAGAGGACTACAGTGTTTTTTATGGAAACCACTGAGAAATGCTGTGTAGCTCAAGCCCTGAGTCCAGTTCAAGGCCTCCTCCTGACCGGAGCAGCCAGCATGAGGAACGCTCCCAAATCCAAGGTTCTCTCTCTGCACAGCAGCACTATAAAAGATCTGAAATCACCTCTGATCTTGGTCTCGGAAAGGAAATATTTTAACCTCATGTTGTTTTTCAGGTATATTATAACTAAGAGGCCAATGTGCTCTTTATATGCTTTTAATGTTGTGAGGCCAACGKGCTTTTTCAGTCGTTTCAAGGGATACAAAGGGTTTGGAAGTGAAGCTTCTGAGCACATCCCTCTGAAGCTGATGCAAACACATATTAGACAATTGACAGTAATTCTTTTCAGAACTGGAGAWGGGAGGAATCAGGGATCCCCAGAGCTGAGCCAGACCTGCCAGTGGCCGTGCCGGACGGCGCAGAGCAGCGGCAGAATCCCCCTCCTGCTGCCTCTGGTCACTGCTGCTCCATGGCCCAGGAGGAACTTGCACACTTCCAGCTTCCCTCTTCCTGCAGCAGCTGTCAGGGCTACAGAAAGCATTTGCATCAACAGCAGCTCGTGCCTGTTTGGCCTTTGGACACACACACAATATGTCAGGGTTACCAATATCCATTTGTTCAGCTTTTCACTCTGACACTTATTGAAAGCTGAAAACAACAACAAAAAAATACTTTCCCCATCCCCATGATTATACCCTCTTCTATTTTGCTCATATTGTGTTTTAAACAGAACTTGAAATTCAAATTTTGTTGTCTGTGTCAAAGGCTCACCAGTCATGCCAACAGTGTTTAGAAAATGAGTCCATGTGTGACTTCTGCAAGAATCAGCAAAGGACTTGCCCCTCCAGTTTCTAAAGCCTAACAACTTGCATTTTCCACTAAGAAGTAGGTCAAATTGCAAATTTCCTGTTGCTCATGTTTTAGCATTTTACAGCATGATCAAGTAGATTTTTTAAAAATTCTAATGAATGCTGAAAGTAAAGGAGATTACAAACACTGCAGGAAGCAGTACACTTTTTAGCAATATCTGACCTGTTCCCTCCTCACTCGATAAAAGTTCACTGTTTTACAGCTCCAATAACTGTTTAGAGCTGGAAAGTAACTGGATGGATATGATATAGTTATGGATATCAACACTACAAGCAAAAGAGTCGAGGCTTGCTCTAAAATCCCCCTTTCAGAGAGTTCACTTCCTCAACGGTGAAGGTTACGAATGCATCGTGCAATGATTTCAATAAAAAATACAGACAGGAAAATACTGAAGAACAAAATTCATGTAGGAAAAGATGTATGGCTTTTGGAATTGACAGGATTTGCRGCAAGGATTTTGTACAGGTGTAGGGATGAAGCACATCTGCTCCTCTGGGATGTGAGAGCCTCTGCCCCTCATCCCCGCAGGGGTTCCATGGATGGAGATGCTCTCCCAAAGCACTCAGGAGCTGCCACTGCAGGGCTCACACTCTGCCTTCAAACCAACATCTGCCCTTTTCAGATGCCCAAAGGCAGCTCTTTTCCTCCACTGCCTAATTAGAATAAGTGAGGCAATGGCCCAGCATTTCCTTAAAACTAATGAGATTTAAACAAATTTTCTTTCTCAAACACTGAAACTTAAGTGTTGTATTTCCACAATTTTCAATTTAGTTAGAAAGTAATTTACAGCAATTTTAACATAAAATGATTCTTCAATACTTGAGATGAATAGGTTCAGTAATTTAAAACTCTATACTTATAAACTGCATTTTATGAATAAAACTGGTATTTCCCATTATTTTTATTACAGAAATTAAGCTAAGAACATAAAATTAAGACCTCTTTATTCTTAAATGAACAGCTCTAATTAGGAAAAATATGAGAAAGGAAATACCTGTTTCTCCCCACAAGGCATCAGTGTCATTGATGTCCATGCCATGCTCCTTTTCAAGTGTCAAGATGTATTGAACCACCTGCCAAAAACAGCGAGCAAAGTTGTGCTAAACCACAAGAGCATCAGTTGTCATTGTTACGTGACAGCAAGAAATAAAAGATGTAAAACGAGAGTGTTCTCTCAATGCTCAGAATCAATGGGAAAGAAAATCAGTCAGACTGCTCAAAACAAGTTCAGTAGAATTTTCACGACTTGAGGGCAAGTGAACAATACCAAAAAGAGTTTTAAAAAAACCCCGTGGCCTTCTCTGAACTGATTGTTTGGTGTTAGGATAATTTAATGAACTCCCATGCAACCTATATACACCAGAATAATCAAAATAAACAATGATGTCAGAAATAAAGCATCCCAGTACAATGAAGACGTTCCATATTGTCTAAAATAAAAGCGCAAAACTGAGGATATTTGCATACTCTTGTAAAATGGCAATACCTAAGTTTTTCCTTCTGCATTGGTTATATCTTACCTGTTTTTCTAAATTTCTTCCCAGAATGGTTTAAGCATATGTTGATAAATGGTAATTTTTAAAGCTGAAATAAGTTTTAAATTAAGTTTTGCGATGTTTCTACTATATTAAGGAAATCTATGTTGTGAAACCACCTGCTAAAAGATTATTAAATTAAAACCTCTTCTGATGGCTGCTTTAAACGGATTTTCTATGGGGCACATGGTCAACAGGTGAGGGATGAGAACCACACTGACAAGGCTTGGGTTGCTACAGGAAAAAACAAAGGCAGGAAAGGAGAAAGGATCTGGATGTTTTCAGGCTSTCTGAAAACTGCTGTATACAATATTTGGAAAACCCCAGAATGGAACGTGCTAGGACAAAATTTATTACAATTCATGAAATACACAGGTCTTTTTTCTAGCTAAGAAGTAAGCTTCTTAATGTCTTTGAAAATAGAAAAAGATGGACATTTTCAGGTATGTATTTATGATTAATGTGATCTATTTTCTGATATTCAGGAGTTGACTGCTTTAATTTAATCAGTGAAGAGCAAACAAGAACTTTTATGAAAGCGAAGGAATTATCCATTAATCCAACTCAACCATAGTTCAGAATCCTCAAGTATTTATTGTAAGATAATAATGGCTCATATACCTTATAATAAATTAACTGCATGTAGACATTCCTATATTTGGATCATCTAAACAACTTCAAAGATCAGACTCCTGATCTTATAACAATTTAAAAATAGATTTAGAAAAAAAAGTTAATATTGAAGAATTATTGAAGAAATTTTGTCTCCACTCTGGTACATCACTTAATACGTAACCAAGGCCCCTCAGCCTAGCATGATCTTTATTCAAGTATCTTTTCTTACCCACTACTTTTCTAGCAAGGTTACAATTTGTTTTCCCAATGAACAGAAGATATACTTGTATTAAGGCATTTTGAAGTACTTCTTATGTGTTTACTTTTAGTGTTCCCTCCCAAATTTCTGTCTAAAGTGACRCTGAGCTGAATTCTCTTACTTGACATGAGCAGCAAGCTAAGAATTGAAGCCTGTGCAACTGCATGTGACAAAAAAATTGAAAAAAATTCAACCTGAAGTAGAAACATACTCGGGTGGATCAGCGATACAGAAAATCATCATCACCACTAGAGAGTTAGGACAACTTCAAGAACAGAGAGGAAAAAGTATACAGCAAACTACATCCAGACAAATCCTAAAGCAACCTGCATTACTGGATACTCRGCTAGAACGTTTACACCAGCTGCTAAGACACACCACGACAAACAGCAGCAGTTTCACCAATTCTTTGCAAGTCTCTTTTCAAAGCAGCTGCAAGCACTGCAGCACAATTGGGGTGATTTCACCCGAATCTGGACCCACCTGGCAGTGGCCCATGCTGGCGGCGGCGGTCAGCGCTTGCTGCAGCGCCTGCTGCTTCCGCAGGGAATCCTGCTCKGGGCACCCCGGCACCCAAACCAGGCTGAGCAGCAGCTCCAGGATTCCACAGTGCCCTCTCAGAGCACYATGCACCAAAGCACACTGGCCCTTCTTGTCTGCAAAGTCAGCCTGAAGGGGGAACAAAGCAATGTCTGAGGTTAACAATGCAGGGAGACGCTCGGAGCACTGGGGGAGAGCAGCTCTTGCTCCTGACTTTTGGCCAAAGAGCACCATCTGGGGAATTACAGCCCAACAGCCTCACCTGAGCAGCTGATGGMAAAATTAATCCTGGAGACCACTGCCAAACACAGGAAGGACAGGATGACCAGTACTGGTCAGCATGGGCTTGGGAAGGGGAAATTATGTTTGGTCTGCTGGACAGGCAGCAGCTTCAGGGGGACCAGAGGGGGTGAGGAGAACTGGGGAWGCCCTTGACCTAAACTTCTGAGGGTTCTAAGACTGTCTCAGTCACAGTCACAGGCAAGTTGATGTGAACAGGCTGTGGAAGGGCACRGTGAGGTACACCCAGAACTGGCTGAACAGATCTGTTACAGGGCTGTGGTGAGAGGCACATGGAAAGTGCTTCATGGAAGACTGGACTCGCCCCTCAAGCCTCTGCCTGATAATTGTATGCTTAAATAATCACTAACAGCTTCCTTAGGCCTTTGCATGACTGTTCCAGCTGCAGCTCTGCAGTCTTTGTGCACAGCTCACCTTGGCACCTTTTCTGCACAGCAGAGCCACAATGTCCATGTGTCCTGCAGCAGCTGCGTAACTCAGCGCTGTCATCCCATTCTCAGAAGTTCCATCAACAGCAGCTCCAAACTCCAATAAAAGAGCAACCACTTCTTCATGTCCAAGGTGTGACTGAACACACAGCACTGGAGCATTATTCAGTACTTCAGTCCTGTAATTCACATTTGCTCCTGCCAAAATCAGTAGCCGACTCACCTAAAATTTAATTTAAACAAAATAATATTTTCCTCAGATTTGTCTGAATTTGATATCTTGATCAGGTATTCATTTGTTACTCCCCAATTTTGATGCAGATTTTATTGGCAGACATCAACTTTATCACATATACACCAACAGACCAGTTTAAAATCTTCTTTTAGTAAATACATTATTGTATTCACTGCACTCCCAAGAGAAGACTTGTCTCTCCCCTGAAACTCACTGCTCTCACCACAATTACACGTGTGACTTGCTACCTCTCTGCAATTAATGTAACTACCTCCATTAAGAGAGAACCAGGCTGAATACAAAGCAAATCTCAAAACGGCCAGAGCACATAGAGATGTTATTCATGTACACACAAATTCCCAATCAAGAGCCTTAGCAGCTGGCTCAAATTCCAACTGACCAATTTGGATTTTGCTATCCATAAGCTAGGGATTCAAGTAATAGTGCAAACTTGCGGTATTTTAAATCTTTTCCTCTCACAGCATTTCCCCTTTTTACAATTCCCCACAGAAGCAAAGAGGGGTGGGCTCTGCCCAGCAAGGCCACGTGGAATATCCACCTCCCAAAAATGCACCCACGCACTCATCTGTGCTACAGAGAACAGCTAGAGCAGAAAAAAGGCAAAACCCATTAAAACTATTGAGGAAAACGAACTTGAACTTTAGCAGCAGCTCACAAAAGGATGTCAAGGTTTGTCCCAAAGGAGATGAGCTGCTTCTCTTGCTGAAGGTTGCACTGACTCCAGCATTCAGCAGCCTCATGTTCTTACCTTCACGTTGGGTGTGTAGATGTTTCTTAGGGAAGCCAGGGCTGCAGASAGTCCATCAGTGCTGTAACCAATCCACAAGGCTTGCAGATGACTGGAAGAAATTCCGGTCCTTTTGCTGAGACCCTAACAGAAATAATGTAATAGGAAATCTCTCTACAGACTTACAGTCCTATTTTAATTTACAACTCAGTATAAAAAGAAGTAAAATCTGGATCAACAGCACAACCAAACATTTTGCATAAGCTTCCAACAAATTATTCAAGCAAGTCAGAGGATAATCTCTSACACATTCATATGGATAGGTCATAAAGCCTACTAAGCTGCAAGCTTTACCTTAAAAATGTGAGCTTTAAGTATATGATGGCCAAGTTCCATTGTTTGTTGGCGGTTTAACTTTCCCTCTTGTCGAGAAAACATGAAAGCCAACAGAGCATGTCCATTCCTAATTAAAAGGATTAAGAGAGAACCACTTTTGGAACTGCGTTGAAGTAAATATTCTAACACACCTTTATGCCTGTTATAACAGCTCAACTTTGTCAGACAACTGAAACATACTATCATATCTAAACAAAAGTCTTTCCATAATGCAATAATGCCAAACGAAGAAGGTCAAATTCTGAAGAGGAAGCACACTCTGGTATTTCTGTGCTGTCCCCATGGCAGCTTGGACGTGGTTTCCACACTGCTCCCTTTTTCTCAGAGTCAGGAGCTGCAGGTATTTCAGAGAGAAGCCAATCCTTTTAGAAGCACAACATCTGAGTACTTGCTAAATCTGAGATAAAATGTGTACTTAGTAATCCTACACCTACTACCTTTAGTAGTGGTCAGTGTTCTACAAAACTCAACATTTAAGCCCAAAGGATCTGTTCCTCCTATTCCCACAGTCTGCATTACACAGACAAGGTGCTGCTGCCTGGGATTCTCAACAATTCTGGTATATTAACAACAATATTGCACTCTCATTTCTCCATAAAAGGAGCTAAGTCAAATGCAAATTTCAGACTTCTACAATTACGCATTACAAACTTTGCATTTTAATAAAAGTTTTCATTTTGGAAAAAATTAGGTGTACTTSTGTTTTAAAATCATTCTCTCCTGTCACCAGTTGTTGCAATCTATTATACAAAACCTAATTTTGGTTATTTGCCCATGAATTAGTGCAGTTTTTACTTACCTTGGCTCACATAGGAAGTCAGTATTTTCACCTTCTGCTCTCCAGACAAGCCACTCCCTGAAGGAAGGATGGCAGAACATGCGTGTTTTGTCACGTCTTTTGATCAGAAAACATGAAAGGGCTTCCATCCTCTGACTGAAGTCTTCCCACTGCTGTTCAGTGTTTATTTGTCCTGCATTAATAGCCTGGAAAATCTGATCATCTGTCATGGGGTGCAGGGATGCCAGGGCCACGTTCAGTATGGGCTGAGCTCGCTCAAAAGCTGAGTTTGTCATGAACTTCATATTGCACTGCAGTAAGTACAGCTCTGACAGAGACACAGGAACAACCTTGTAGCTGGCACTTTTGATTACTAAATGACCTTTCTGGAAAAGATCCAGAGTGAGTTTCAAATAGAGATAAGATCCCAGGCTTCTCATGATCAGGTGRTTACTCACTTTCCCAATAGTGGCTGCATCAGATTTTCCATTTAAAGATATGTTGTTTATAATTTCCTGACTATTATTAATTCTGTACTGAATATAAGCATTCAAGTCATCGTGAATTTCTTTGTTGTCAGGAAAATTGTCCAAGGATATTGCAATAAATGGCAGTGAATTCACCACTTCCTGTGAAGGGGAGAGAGGGGAAGAAAGGAAAAAAAAAGACACAAAACAAAGACATTACAGTATTTTGAATGAGAATTCAACAGCACATTTCTGTAACATTTCACTTCTGTAGTGAGCACCAGATTAAAAAGGAATTCAGCATCCCTGAGATCATTTTTGCAAATACTGCCCCCTCGTAAGATGTAGAACAATATTTCTACATTTTATCACTTTTCATAGGAAGRTCTCAAAGATTTCACTGACCAAGCTCAACAATTGAAGGGGATGAGCTATAGAAATGACCCCTTCAGAGTTGAGGAAATGGAAAACAGCTGCCAGAACTGGACCCTGAGACAGTCCAGGGAGAGGGGGAGGCAGAAGGAATGATCAGAAGGATTTATTAAGAAGTATCACAAATGAAAGGACAGAAAAGACTCCCCTCATTTCACTCTCCAGGAACAGTGTACAGAAAGGTGCCATCCACACACCTCCAACCCCACGTGCCTCAAGCACCAAGCACTTCAGGAGGTTCACCTGAACACACTTTTGTGTTTCTGTAAATATAGATTCAAAAGACCTTTATTTAAAAGAAACACTTCTACAACTTCTAACTCCAACTTCACACATAAAGTAAAACTTCCAAAGTTTTACTTAAAGATCTCTAAAATCGAAGTTTTAGAAGCAGAAACTTCTTACATAGAGTCATATATTAGAAAGGTTGAACAAACATCTCCAGACTTTGGTAACTTAAAAAGGAACTCTATTCCACTTTATGTAATGAAATGGATTTCAAAAAGCTGCACTTTAAGATTAGTGAGATGTTTTAAGCAAAGAGACTTCTCGACTCCAGAGAGGGAACAGTCCTTGCTACAGAAATCCCTCCTTAAAGCCACAAGCCAGTTTAACTCAGTTAAACTCAGTTAAACTCTGAGTGCTCGTGGCAAGCAGCAGAGGAGAAACAAACTCTGGGAGGGCTGTACATCTGCACCTTAACACTGCACYCCTCAGGGCCAAGGGAACAGACCAAACTAGCATCATTTCTTCCATTATCAACTCTACTGGCAGATGCAGTAACAGGATTCAGAAAGAAAATGCCTCCAATATTTTATCTGTGCACCGCAAATAAACATGTAACAAAGCAAGGAAGGAAATAACCCGAGACACTTTATTTTTAATTCTTCCAAGTCCAGTATTTTTCGTAATAATGCAGCTGCACCAATATAAATTATCATTTAGTCTTTGAGGGTAAGAAAAGTGTTAAAAGCTGTTTTTACCTGGAAATTAGTTCTTACGGTCACAAYGAGCTTCAGCCAGGGAGGAAACTTACAGATTATATTTGTGATAAATGAAGAAATTGTGTCACCATAATCAGGTTTATGAAATTCAGCATCATTTAAACCATCTACCAAAATTATGTAGTCTTCCTCAGGAATCTTCTGCTCTGAAATTTGAAAATAAAAAAGGAAAGGATAAAAATTAACTCCCCCATTAAGTGACACATTTTTATCTTCAAATTCTGAATGTCAAGAAACAGAAATGTATCTCTATGCACCCCAATACATGTTATGGCATTCAAGCATTATTCAGGAGATTAATAACAACACTAGGAGATTAAAAGCAGTTTTAACAGGAGTAGTATSCTCTGTTCACATGTAGGTAAAAACCACCCCATTGTGCCACAGATCAGGAATCTGCTCGGGCTGGCACACACTGGGAAGCAGCTGTTTTCAAGGAGGAGATTGCTAGTATTTTTTTAAATACAAAAATCATGTTTTACATGCTTTCTTTTCCACACCATACTCGAGGCAATGGCCAGAGCTGTGTCAGGGGAGGGTYARTTTGGATATCAGGAGAAGATTCTTCCCCAGAGGGTGCTGGCACTGCCCAGGCTCCCCAGGGATGGGCACRGCCCCGRGGCTGCCAGAGCTCCAGGAGCGTTTGGGGAACTCTCTCACAGACAGGACAGGATTATTGGGGTGTCTGTGCAAGGCCAGCACTTGCACTGATGATCCTGGTGGGTCCTTTTCAACTCAGGAGATTCTGTGATTCTTAAAAAACTGTCACATCCACTTTAAAAGCAAGCAAAACCCACATCCACTTTGCCGATGTTTAGGCATAGAAAATTACAACAGAAAAGTAYGTGACAAAACTCAAATGCTAAAACAAAATCCTTTAATGCAATGTGCCAGCCTTAACTTCAAGCTGTAGCTATCTTTCAGTTTTCTGGCAAAAAAAGTAAATAGGAAAGGTTGTGGAAATTTCACAAGTCACAGAGTTTTAATTCAAACACAAATCAGCTGCTCAAACCCCAGCTGATTGTTACAAACAATGAGCACAGCTAAGGAATCCCTTTCTCCGGGAACGTTGTGTGTTATTTGTTCTGCACTCTTTATGAAGTTTGATTCCATTTGCAGGTTCCCATACCTCTCCTGAGCTTTGCCAGCGGTTCCAGCACTCCYCGTTTGAAGGCAGCTGCCGGGTCCTGCACGCAGGAGCGCAGGCTCAGCGCACTCTGCAGCTGGGGCTCTCTGCTCAGCAGATCCCTGAACGCCGCTAAGCGCGGGCAGCGGCACAGCAGAGCGGCCACGCTGTGCACGAACTCGGGCACCAGACACGTGTACGTGTTGTCAGCCTGGCAGTAGTGATAAGCCACCACCTGCACCGGTGAGAACGTGAAAAGCATTAACTTCAGCATTTCACTTGGTACTAGTTAGTGCAGTTACCACAGTGTCATTAAATCTCTCTCTCAGTGTTMGATCCAATGCTGTAACAGCCTCTGATGGCTTTTGTCAAACACAGGAAGGAAAGCAGTGAAATAGGGYTTTGACCTTGCAGGGCACACAGAGAGGAGAAGAAATCAAAATGTCAGAGTCTGGCAAGAAAACATAACAATTGGAGTTTGTGACATTTGGATAGAGTGGATAAGCAGCTGATTAAYGAAGCAGCACAAGAAAAGTAACCTGATGGTCTGACCAGGCCATCTAGTACTGTAATTTAACAACACTATGTCCCACACCCTAACGACCTAAGGACTAACTGGATCAGCATCAGGCAAAAGCAAATGACAGATACCTATTGAGACATGCTCACATAAGCAAATGGAGAAATAGGACAAYTGGCTTTATTCCAAACATTCCAAAGCTGTGTATTACTTAAAAATAAACCAGGACATAACCCATATTCCTTCRGGGAAAAAAACCCAAAACAAACAAATAAACCAAACCACAAGGAAAACATGGTGTTCACAGTGAATAAAAAGCCTGCACTTCAGTGGCTTTCAGAACACTGCTTCAAATGAATGTGAATCCCTTTAAAGACTGCTTATGTTAAAGATCTCRTGTTTTGCCCGCAATTATTCATATAAAATATTCAATTGAGACACTCGTTAATTTTACTACTTAGGCAAAAAATAAAACACATAATAATACAAAAACTACTTCAGATCCTCTGAGTATGGAAAATAGTGGAACTACATTCAGACACAACGTGTATCATAGTACAGAGATGGGTTATCCAAGAAGCAAACATTTTCTCTTTTATCTTTCCCCCCACCACCTTCCCTGCCATGAATTTTGCTTTTGGAAGGTRCAGTGAGGAGCTCCCTGCAGAGAACATAGAGCCCTTTGCCAGGGGAAAGATCCCAAGCTCCCACAGCCACACAAAACTGATGAGAAATGAGGTAATTAAAGAGCTGCCGAGTCAGTGAGAGCAGCAGGATTCAGGAATCACCCGATGGGTACCCAAGGCAGGTGAGTGGTTTCAGCAGACAAACAGYCACCAGGCAGAGATGCCCAGGGGCTGTCCCTGTCCCAGCAATGCCCTCTGCTCCCGGTGCTCTGCAAAGCCAGCTGAGCCCCAGGATGGAGGCTCCTGACCCAATGAACACCTTCCAGAAGTGAAAACTCACCTTGGAGGCGAGGCGCCTGACAGAATCCCCTGGGTGAGTTCTGTGCTCAGGACATGCCAGAGCCTTCACTGTGCTGCTGTCACCCGACACAGGGGCACACACCACGGGGAACTGGCTCAAGGGAATCTCCTGACAGCAGTCACCACCTGCTTTAAAGGACAAACAAAAGAGACCAAATTTGCTGACAGCGGACAGCTTTCCAGGAAAACACCACAGATTATCTTCATTGCTAGAGTCAAAACTGAAACTGAGCAACATCACTAAAAGAAGCCTCTAACTAGTCGGATAAAAAGGCACACATTTCCAACTTCAGAATTCTAAAACAACTCAACTGACTTTTAGATCAAAACTACAGAATTACTGAAAGCAAAACCATGCTGATGTGAAGAGTTTCCTTCCGAAAATTACATATAAAATGTCTCATTTAAACCAGCAGTTATTATATGACTGAACTCTTAGGAAATTTATAATTTTCATTATTAATAATATTTCAAGTGTCACGTGGGGAAGTAGCAGTAATGAAGTCTCACATCCTTCCAGTAAATGTAGGCACTGGACTGATCTGGTAGCAGGACACTATGGATCTCAGTAWAAGACAGAAGGGGTTTCTCCATAGCTTTGTTTTTACCTCTACAAAAATTCTATGGAAAGCACACAGAGAGTACAGAGCAGGAAAGAAACACTCACTGCTCCCTTTCCAAACATGTGGGAGACAAGGCTGCTGAAGTCCCATCCCCAGTCTGGGGTACACCCTGCCCCATAAAAGAAAGAGATGCTGCACACTGCCTCCACCTTCCCACGTCTCTGACAGCCTGAGCCCACATTTATCATGTCAAAGGTATTTGTCAGAACRTAAAATTTTAACTCCTTCCTTTACTCATCAGAAGAATAAAATGTTTGCTGAAGACTTGATGTGTCCTGGCTACCTTAAGCCAAAAGAGTAAACATCTGATGCTGTTGTGAGCACACTAACACAGAGCACGACTCTGAAAAGGAACACACTTTTGGGAGATGCACCAGGGCTGCTGGAAGCGATTTGTCTCATGCAAAGGAACATACTTTCAGGAGATGCACCAGGGCTGCTGGAAGCTATTTGTCTCATGCAAAGGAACACACTTTTGGGAGATGCACCAGGGCTGAAGGAAGCTATTTGTCTCATGCAAAGGAACACACTTTTAGGAGATGCACCAGGGCTGAAGGAAGCTATTTGTCTCATGCAAAGGAACACACTTTCAGGAGATGCACCAGGGCTGAAGGAAGCTATTTGTCTCATGCAAAGGAACATACTTTTGGGAGATGCACCAGGGCTGCTGGAAGCGATTTGTCTCATGCGACTTCCATGGCAGCTGAGTGCCACCAGTCGGGAAATGACTGCAGTCTTCCCAAATCCCACATTCCCAGTAATGATGGCTCCCCTGTTCTGTGCTGGGTCAGGATTCTGCAGTTTTTCTTCAATGGCACGAAAGAGCCATTCTCTCCCAACAAACACCGAGTCTGTAGTTATGCTTGGCACCTCAAACAACAGGGGCTTCAGCAAAATGTCCTGAGGCTTGTAGGGGATGAAACGAGCTGAAAAGACGTGTCAGGGAGAAAAGTTCATTAGAAAAAACATGCCACACTCTCAAAAAGCACAGTTTCAGAAGGTAACATCATTTAGAAGCCTTGTTACTATCAGTCAAAAACCAATGTTCTAGTGCTTTCATCATGAAAACAATAAAATCTGATTGTCTCAGTTCAGGTCATTTCTACAATTTTTGCATGAATTAAATTACAGAGGAAAGAAGCCACAAGTATAATCTAACAATATTTTTATAATATAACTCAATAAGTTGTAGAATCCAATAAGTTTTCTTAAAAATACATTAATAATTCTACAAATTCGGAAGCACCATTTTTCAGTTTTGAGTAAACTGTGTGCTGAACATCTCGTGTTAGGTCTTCAAATCTGTAAAGACACTTGCAGAGAAACAGAAAAAGTTACAGAGAAAAAATTAATTTTTCTGTTAAAAAAAATCCCTTGAAGTAATACAAAAATTTACTATCTTGTTTTCCTGTGCTTTTGAAGTCACAGGATCAGAAGTTACACTTTTGATTATTTTGATCTACACATTTGGGAAACCCCTGACAACTTAGGGGAGAATTGGATTCTATTGCATAAAATACATTAAAATTTACAGGAATAATAATATTCCTTTATAAAATGCTCTGAAGACTCATTAGCCAAATCTAATATTACACAACTGCTGTTGCATTAATTTATGACCATGAAAAACCATAAATGGAAGAGGACAGAACAGTATCTACATATGATCCTTAAAATTAGTTTTACTAGGAGTTTGGTTAAATTTTTCTGCTTTTGATTGTGATTGGTTGTAACAGATGCACACAATCTCTGAACCACAGCACTGTGCAGAAGCAGTGCCAGCAGCCGTGCAGAGCAGGTGTCAGTGCACTCTGACACAACCCTGCAGGACAGAGCTGTTCCACAGAGCCCATGCACTTTACAAACACTGCAGGACTGTGGGACTGTGCCAGCCAGCCAGACAGACAGACAGACAAATAAATAGGTGTAAATGTGTCCACCTTTACCTTCCTGCTGCACCCTCCCGCCAGCSGTGTTGTGCCAAGGCAAGCGAATTGAAGTTCGTAAAGGAGTATTCCTCTGTCCATCCAAGTAACTTAAATCTTCCAATTTGGTTGAACTTGTTGCTRGAGTATGAAAGAACTGAAGCTTATTTTTCTCTCAACACAAGTTACAAAGAATGCTACTAYTTATGACAGTTCTTCATCCACATTTACTTACAGAGTAGTTTTTCTACACAATGGCAACAAAGTCATTCACGTTGAAACATTTACAAAATGTGTTTCAATCAAGTTCATTAACGATTTAACACGTATTTTCCCCATTTAAATGTCCTCAGTTCTCACATTAGGACAGTTTCCTGTTTTGTTGTGGGAASAACCACATTAGTGAGGTCAGGAGCGTTAGCATAGGTTCAGGTATTACCTGTTATATCCTGATCCACTGTCACCAGCTGGAGTCCTGGAATAACTGATTAAGTGTTTCAAAAKTCCCTTTGAAGTGTTTCAGATATCCTGACCTAATCAATAGCTCCAGAAAGCACTGTAACAGCTCTCTGGATGACAGTTTTAAACAATTTAGGTAACGTTCATCTACTCAGTTCAGAATATTGGCTTTTTTCTTTTTAGTCTACAGAGATACTTTCATACTAACAACAAAAAGATTCAACAGAAATGTCCTAYCATTAAGAACACTCTTGTCCTCTATCTCAGGACTTTACCTGCAACAGAGTTTGGACGGGGCATTATTAAAGAGCCAGTACTCTGAGCATAAGGAAGGGGACCCTCYCCTGTTGGTACATCTTTTGACAAATTCTCAGAAGATCCAATGGCTTCCTCTTCTGCAACTGGTGAACARTTATCTGTTCTTCGATCGTGACTGATGCCTTGATGTTTTCCAGCTCTAAGACTCCCATCCTTACTCCATTCTAAACTGGATCCACTACGATCATCATTTTCTGATGAACTGGTTATAGTGGCTGAAAAAGAGTGAAAAAAACTATGTCAGAGGAACATGGCACATACATTAGAATTTTCATTCTSAAATGGCAAATGTAAAACATAAATGACAAAAATTCAGTGTTGTTCAGAGGTGTCTGTCTCACCTGATTATATCAGGATGACAATCTGCCTGCACTCATACACCTGGCAAACTAATCCTGGTAGAAACCATCCAGCAAGTGAGCTACTTACTGTTCCTACATTTCACTGTCAGACAGAGCAAATAATGCATGATGAACCAGAACCAGCAGAGCATATGAATAAAATCTCAGATTATATTAAACACACTGATTTATGTTTTTAAAGTGTGCTGCAGTAAAAATCAGAGGCTCAAATAAAAGTTTTTTTGTGGGGAGTAAGGTGGTTCCACCATGGTTGTAAATGTTTCCAGTGGTTTATGGTGACAACATTTACCAGTAATTTCTCAATAATGTGTGCAGTTCTTCAGCAGTAAGATGGACTTGTTCTGCTATGAAAATTTCATATGCTACAAATAAGCAACACAGACCTAGAGAGATCCTCAGCTAAAGGAAAGATAAGAGCAYTGTAAAGACCTCTATGATGGAAAAGGAAAAAGGCATAAGAAAACAAAAAATGGAGAAAACCAGAGAAGAGTGGTTATTTCAAAGGAAGAAGTGGAGAATTTACAACTGCACCAGGAAAACAAAAGAAGAGAAATGCACACCTGACAACAGCAGCCACTACAGCCAAGAAGAGGATTTCATTCTTTCAAAAGGGACCCATGGACAGTGTAAAATGAACAGGGTGACACAAAGCAGCTGTTGAGACCGGCACATTGAAGAGGAAAATGCCTCATTTCTGTGAGGGGCATTGCTAAGCAAGGTGCTCACCTATAATGCCRCTGTCCTTGCTCTCCAGGGTGGAGCTGGGGGTGCTGATGCTGCCACAGGGACTGCCCTTGCTGGCTGCTGCTGTGCCAGGGCAGCTGGTGAGCGTGGAGAAGGGGCTGTCGGTGCTGGGAGAGGTGGTGCTGCTGCTCAGGCTGGAACAGGGACTCACTCCCTGGCTGGGGACTGCACTCTGCCAGGGAACAACAAACAGGAAACATCAGTGCACAGCCCCAGGACACCGCTGGGCTACAAACCACAGAGCTCAGGGTGAGACAGAATCAAAGTAAAAACCTCAACAAGTAAAAGCTTTGTCCAGATTGGGCATGTTAATCTTTCATATTACTCCTAAAAAGTGACCTGTGAAGAAAATAAGGGAATTTCACAGTTCAGCAGAAGAACTGCAGTGAGGCAGATTTCTTCTCTATTTTACATTTTACTGGAACCCCTTCCCTTCACCTCTTGTATTTATTCTTTGTGCTGAAAAAACCTAGAACTCCAGTCCTATCGATTTTTCACTGTCATGTGAAAACCCAAACTGATGCACTAAAATTTAGGCAGGCTGGGACTAAGAGTGGAGAGAGTAASAGAGAGGAGCAGAGGCTGGTAGTTACTGTGAAGATTTGGTTAGCAGATGAGTAGCTGCTTGCTTCTCTCCAATCCCTCTACCCCAAATGACAGAGAAGGACTGTCTGACTGAAGTGAACTTCTCAGGAAGAAATAACCWCACCCCCTTCCCCAAGCATGCTCCCATTTTAACAAAATACTGACATTCTCCATTCTTGGAAATCACTGAAAACAGAAGGCAAAAATTTCCTCCTAGATACTAAAGGCAGAGGGAACTCTAGAAGCTATTCACATTCATAGTAAACTAGATTTAACCTCCAGAAATGGTGAGAAGTCTACTCAGTTTGTGTGTTTTGAAACTGTAAATTGATCTTACATTCTTGAAAACAAACACTTGTTAAAATTAAAGTCCAATTCTGTTACTATATCTCCATTAAAATGGATGGTAGTTTGGTAGGTATCAAGTAACTGCATCTAGTAAATAGAGGAAATAACCCTAGTCCTCTCTGAAACAGGATGAACATTAAATATATTATATTCCATTATCCTACCATAACTTCGCTTTTCTCTTCCATGTGAGCAGAAGTTGGRATCCCTTCCCCCAGTAAAAAACCCAATCTTGTCATCAATTCTTGTGCTGCAGGAGAACAGCTTGAGTCTTTGTCAGGCTTTGCTTTGGAGCGGGAGGAAAAARGTTGAAGGTTAGAGTCTTATATTTGTAAACTGTTAAAAGAGGTAGAAAAAGTACAACCAAATTGTCCATCAGACTTTTAATTGCTGGTGGGTCTTGCATCCTCTGCATAGCTGCACAAAGCTAGGGGAGGAAAAGCCCACCTGCCAGKCAAACAAGAAATGTTTAAGTGCAATGAGTTCATCCCTGGACTGATGAGCAATGATTCAATACAATGATTCTCCTAACAGCAGTATTTTGTGAGTGACATAAACCCCAATGTCTGCAAACGTGAGCAGTTTACTAGTCAAGCCTCTGTCTTTATTTTACTCCAGCTCAATGCCTACTGGAATGCATGTATTTCTTTATTTTACAGACAGCCTGAGGCTTTACTCTACAAGACTGAATTATGTGATTCTCACTTAATCCCAAAAGAAAGTCTRTGAAAGTAAATAGCAAAAGTATTTTACCACAGAATTGTAACAAATCGACAGGCCTTCAAATTTGACTGGAAAATACCTTTTCTCTACAAAATAGCCATTTTAAAGATTACAATTAATCTTTAAGTCACATCCTGCAGTCTGTGAAATGAACATCTTCATTCTTCTTTCAAAATTACAAACCCCTCTTATTATTATTATTAGCAGTAGTAATTTAAATTCTAATATCTGAGAAGTCTGAGTAAACATTAGGCATAGTACCAAATTCAGTCARTAACAGAGACCAAAGCTAAAAGCCTGAGGTGTTGAACTGAGCATCTACTGTTCAATCCTTGAACATCAGTATCTGGTGCTGATCTCCTGCAGCCTCACAATCTGGGAGCTGCAGCTCTGTGAGAGCAGAAAAATCACAATATGGTCACCTTTACCTTAGGAGGACAAAGACTACACGCTCTCCCAGCTGGACTTTGAACTTTAATGCCAGCACTACAAGATGGCTGTGAAGATGAAGGCAYAAGAGGGACCTGGGTAATTTATACCTTTTCACACAGATGGTGAAAACAATTACAAACAGTTCTATTTTTGCTACTAAGCATCTATGTTTTAGAAAGAAAACATTGGCTGTTTAAACTATAGTTTCCTTTAAAATTGAAACAAAAGGAAAACAAAAGRAATTTCACCTGGAACATCATCAGTTACATTCACTGATAACGAGGTTAGTTAAACTGAAAAATTAATCTAAAAATACACTGCATATGGTCATATACCAACATATGGGTCATTTTGCTTGGACTGTAACATTCACAGTAAAAGCCACATTCTGTCACACACTAGTCAGATTTAACCAACACAAAACCTTTCAAGAATGCCAGTTAACTTTAGGGAGGTGGCTTCTCCCAGCTTTGCCAACACAGGAGTTAACCATTACTGTCTTAGTCAGCAAACTTTTACAAAATTTCTAAACTGAAGCAGTGTAAGGAATGCAAAGCYACACATCTGGAGTCAATTTATAATAAAATACAAATTCAGAAAAATGGCTAGAAGGCCTTTGGTCTATGTGGCATTCAATAATRTCAGGACACCACTTTGACTGCAGCGCATGACCAGCCCCAAGAACRGAGACTGTTCCAAAGACAATGCAGTGAAATGGCAAGCACCTCCTCCTTGCAAATCCTCCTCCAGCAGAGAAAGGGCTTTGCCATTTCCCMGTTCCCCAGCAGCAGTGCTGGTGTGGAACACAGCAGAACCCTCACTCACTCACCGCTGCCGCTGGGCTCTCCTGACCCTGCGCCGTTCCGCAGTGGCGCCGTCACCTCCCCGGGCACTCGGGGACCCTCCACGTACTTGGGCTTCCTCACTGCACCTGCAATGCACCCAGCTGAGCATGTCCAGCTTTATGTCCTGTATCCATTCTCCATGATGCAAAAAACAGCACAGGAGCACTTCTGACAGACAAAGATCAGCGAGCTGCCGCATTTCCACTCCTGTGAGAAACACACGCTCCAGGCTTTTCACAACACAAAGTCTGCTAGAAAACAAACCTGATCTATGTGGTGTGAAACGCCAGCAGCTGTTTCCCTCCTCTTCCTCAGGCTGGTGTGTAATAACCACTTTCCACCCCCTGCTCCCAGACCTTATAAACTGGAACGTGTTCAGTGTCTCCAGAACCAACAGGAACATGGAGAGCTCCACTTGTCCCCAGCTGTGACCCCAGTGAACCCCAGTGATGCCCGTGTGCTGCAATGATCTCTATGCACGGAATGCTGATAAAAGGAGTGCCACGGAGCCCCATATTTAGCCTGGCTCACACACCAGTGTGTAGGCACTAGTGAGGACACCACCACTGAAAATTAATAACTTTCTTGTCACTTCTACAGCCATTTATCTATGAATACATTTGTGCATGGCGATACAGGTACAATAAATTAACTGTAAAACAGACAACACTCACACAGCCACTAATACAGGCACAATCAAATGTTTTTGCAGCAGTCCTCTACATGATATACTAACCATAAATAACCGGTTTAATCATAATCAGGCACTTCAATATAAATATCTGCAACATGAATTAGAATAATTTGGTGCCATATGAAATAATACATTCTATTTAATAACCAATTACTTTTCCAACCTGGGAACATGCACTGCTCTTGTTCTTGTTGCTAAAGTTTAATATGATTTTACTATGTTATTTTCTGTAACATTTATCAATAACTGAGTTACCATGTTTTGAAGATTTTAGTTGTTTATTGTTTCTTCTTACCTGGAGACTTCTTGTTTGCTCTCGCCTGCATCAGATAGGACTGGCGTGGCAGCAGAGGGGAGGATGGCAGTGACATTGAGACTCCTTTGGCCAAGTTCATTCTGGAATTGTCCTCAGAGCCTGGTGGGTCACCAATGGAGAAATCTGCACTGGTCCCAGATGCTGCTGGAACCTGCGAGGCATTCTCTGGGCAGCAGTCACCTGCTAAAAATAAGTTTTTGTCACTCATTAGGTGATATGCCAAAATAAAGAGCCCAGAGTTGCACTTGTTAAATAGAAGGAGTTAACCCAGGAAAACATTTGCCAGCAGCAATGGAGCACGACTCGCCCCTCTCTGCCCGTTCTGCAGAATCCACTGGGAAAATGCAGATACACAAGTAAGAAACATTTTAATTTAATGCAATAAAGACAGAAAGGGGGAAGAAAAACCTCCCTTTGAACTGAATCAGTACTTTCCAGATTTCATCCTTAGGGCTAACATTAAATTTCCTACAAATAAAAGTATTATGCTTCCCACACAGGAATGTAACATTAGGGAAGCAATACTAGAAAAATGCATTAGAAATAGCTGTCAAAATACAATTTGTTACAATGCTAAATACTAGCAGATGCCACACACTGATAAACACAAAACCCCCCCGATTACTTGTTACTAACCCGAAGTTTTGTAATTTGAAATATTTTAGCTACCAGAACAATACTTTAAAAKTCCATGACATTGCCTGGTGTCTACCAGAATATAAAACTGACTACATCACTTCTGGAGTGGAAGGAAGATGACCTCTCACAAGTTCTTTAGTGTCACACAAACACATAGGGGAAGGTCCTGTGAAACCCCACTTTTGKTTTTTTAAAACCTCCAAGTTGTACATTCTCCACTTGTAAGCAGCCTCCAGACAAAAACCTTTCAAAAGCATCAATCWGCACTGGAGTTCTTATTCAGTGGTCAAAGTAACAACAGAAACAACTTACAAGCTTTAAAAACCACACACAAAAAGCYTGGAGAATGAAAATCAAATCCTGGTTTAGCTGCACCTAGGGATGCAACTGAATGACATAATCTGATTACCAAACTAGTTTTTTTCCTTCAGATACAAAAAGATACAAGGATGGCTGACAACAATGATTTTTAATACCCTAAAAGAGAACCTGAACTTTATGATTAAACTAATCCTATTGAAAAAAGTGTCTRTATCAGTATTAAACATAATAAAATGCACCTAAGCCTTCATTCACTATACATTGCTTAAAAACCAGAAGAATGCCAACTACATTACCTAAATAAGTGTAAAATGATTTTGATGCAGGTGTGGGAATTCAGATTATTTTAACGTGAAGGARCAGGACTGCAACCTTTCCAGCAGTGAGAGTGAAAGCAATGAACATGCAGAGTCCTTATCCTGGATCCCGAGAGCAGCTGCAGAGCAAACGGAGTTCCATGGATTCCCTCAACAGAGCCTTCTGGGACAGCCTGTTTTATCCTGCTCTTCTTTAACCTTTCTACTAGCATAAAACAAGACTCCCAACCCACTTCAGAAAAATATCTGATACAAAATTGTTCCACAAGAGAAGAAATCTTGAATTCTGAAGTTCTGCTTAAGATGCTTTAAAAAGAAAAAAAGGAAAAAAGGCGCTAAGACTGCAGGGGCTGCGCTGCCCAAAGCTCCGTGTAAACCCCATGGAGGGAAGGGCACCCCCAATCCAACACTCACACAGGCTTACATGGCACTACTGACAGTCTCAAAAACTCCATTCTGCTTCACAGGATGTGCTTCACCCTAACGAATATTAAAAAAAATACCACTTTACAGACAAGGAAATAGCATGTGGGAAAAAGAAAACAGTTCTAAGAACAAGGAAAGCCATCCAAAGTAGAAAGCCCCTTCCAGAAAAAGGCATCTCTACATCTAAGCAGTAAGAAACTGTTTAAGGATTACCAAAACCAGTGGGTTTGATATTCTTTCAAYAGAACTGACAGGCAAGTCCACACAGAACTCATAACACAGCTCAGGCACTGAGTGTAAGGAAACCCATTTTAATTGTAAAATACTGACCAGTGCCCTTTAAAGGCTGTGTGTCTCTCAAAACTGAAAATCTTCCAAATGCCTGTGTAATTGTCCATATGCAGCCAGGCCAGGTTTGGGACAGGGCTGTCCAGGAGGGCTTGGGGGTTCAGTGTCCCAGTAAGCCCAGTTAGGACAGACAACASTTGCACCAGTCCCAGCAGTGAGCAGGAGCTGCAGAGCCATTCCTGCACTGGAGCCATCCATAACCTGCTGGGACACAGCACAGGCTGCTGGCATGGAAAACCATGCACACGGGGAGAGCAGCATTTCACTCTTTTGAGATTCTGGAAAGACCAGAAAAAGGGGGAAAGCAGCATGGAATGGGAAGAAAACTCATTACAGCCTGAGTAAAGGAAGCAGTGAAGTGAACTGAGTGAGAAATAACCCAGGCAAAATTAGAATAAAGGGTTTAAATAGACAACTTTTTGCCAGCTCTGCTCATACTTGACATTATTTGCTCTCTTTCTGGCATTTATTTCTGCACCCTGGATTAGTTTTATCAGTACACAAAATATTAATGTTCTTTTGTTGCGCTTAAAAAAACCAATCAATTTTAAAAGAAAACAGTGATAAACATAGGTTATTCAGACCACTTAAGTAATTTCCATATGTGTTTGAAGGGCAGCATCTTTTKGGGGGAGGTGATGTTTATAGGTACATGGGATACATCACTAGAATTAGATTCTGGGAAAAGGCATTCACCACATTAAATACTGAATGCTCAGCAAAAAAARCTTAAGCTCTTAAATAACTGACAACAGCAGCTGAAAGTGGGCAAAATAACACAGGATAATCAAAAACAGCTCCATATTTTAWGCATGAAACAATGCTGCTTCTGTTGCAAGATATTTTTAGAGTAACAACAAAAAGTCAAACTGAAACTTGAAAGTATTCCAGTCCAAGTTCAATGCTCCAAGCAGAGGATGTAAACTTTATGCACCACAAATTCCATTTGCGCTTAAAATTCAAAGTCTAATGTCACAGTGAGTTGGGACAGAAAAAGCCAAYTGTATTTGCACATTTTGATTTAAAAAGACAAACTGATTTTATTTATGGCCTTTAAATTTTCCAGAATGCTGGAAAGCCTGGATGGTCTCAGCTGGTTTCTGAGTGTATTAGTCAGAAATGCTGAGTGAGCTGTAATCCAAGACAGGGGCTTCAAACATGCATTTAGCTGACCACAGTCAACTGAGAAACTTCACTGCTACAGACAAGTAATTCTTAAAACTTATTCAGTTTTAAATTCTTATTCAGTTTTAAAATAAAAATTAAGCAGTGGGTCTGGGTCTTAATAAAAGATTAGGCTATGCTACATAGCAGCTTATTTCTTKGAGAGTAGCAATTTAGTTACTACTAACAATAAAAACAGTAAATAAATAATAGTAAGTCTCAAACTGAAAAACAAAACAAAACAAACAAAACAAACCCCACCAAACCCCAGTGACAGTGAATTTCAGCACATTTCTGTTTATCACTCCCTGTGCTGCATGTCAGGCTTGTAAGAGGGGCCTTGGCTGAAAGAGAGAAAGCAAAAGAGGGATGGCAGAACATCGTGTGAGCAATCACAACTCATACCTTTGAAAGACATCTCACTTATGGAAAAGAATGCTAAGTATAATCTCCATTTCTTAATTGCATCTTATGATGTGAATAGAAGGGAGGAAATGTCAAGTTGACAGATTTCATCCAACTTGTTCAGCATACAATACTCCTAAACGGCAAGGCAGACAAACAAAAGTAACTAATGATACACCAATCTACAATGGAATGTAATACAGAAATACAGCATCCATTTTATACAATCATTGCAAAGTCTGTACACTCAAATTTCAGTCAAAGATACTTACAYGAAGGTACCTGAATACAAGAAGGAAACCCAAAGTCTCAAAGAGTATTGCAAAAAGTTAAGTCTGATCTACCAGATCAATCTGGTAATTGATTGAAAACCTAATCTCAGATTCAATCCTTTTATTTCAGAAATCAAAAGCCCCCATCTTGTTTCTCCAGATTCTCTGCCTTTAAAGCACTATGTTGCTATATTCTAAATATCTTTTTGTTGACATAATAAYCTGTCCCTTGCTATTTGAGCACTACATTGATATCTAACAAGYCTTGAAGCTGAAAAACCTAAAACTACTACTTACCACACTGAATTTCTACTGACATCACTGAAGTTTTCATGCATACCATGTACTACACTTGATGTTCAGCTTCTGATGGGATTTAGTGCAGGAAGAATACTGCAACCTAAGCACAATACTGYCATTATTTGTGTTCCTTCAGGCCTGATATTGGGTCAACAGAATGACAATGCTCATGCTACTAGAAAACCATCTGAAATAACTGAGTGTATTCCATAGAAACTTCATATACTGGATTTTATTTTACATTACATGTATTTTGTACAAAATGAGCTTTTGCTTAGTAAATAAAAATAAAATGCAGCTGCTGACTTTGGGACAGTTAAAGAAAACAAATGGAATTATATACTGGAAAGCAGCTGGCAGTACAGAARCCCAACAGGAAATACTAATACAAATTTATCTCTGAAGCATTYTAAAACATTTAAGAATGAGTAGCTCAGTAGAATTTCTAAACCAATCCTAATTTAAAACTATTTTTTGTTTATATTCTGAAGCTCATTATGTATATTCTTTATACTATCACCATCACAGGCACAGACAGGACTTACAGCTCATCYGGTAGAACCTGAGTTTGAACAACAATCTTCTGGCTCTGATTGCTTGAASTGTGTCACTTACACACATTTCTGTGCTATATTGAAAACAAAACAGCTCCTTTTGGTTGAGGCCAGAGGCAGAAAGTGGTCACAGAGGTCAAGTTAAAAACCTCA